AGAATCTGAATATCGCAAAATATTTTAAAAAATTGCAATAATATCGTATCGTGCGTTAAGTATTGTGATAATATTGTATCGTAGGATGTATGGTGATTCCCACCTCTAGCATGTGGGGAGCAAAGGCTGACCCATGTGGTCCAATTGAACAGACAAATAGTAGAAAAAGTTCATGATGGTTCTGATAGAAAGGTATCAGAGTACACAGTGCATCACAGTTTGTCGCATATGAGATGAAGGTGCACCGATGCTGACCGCAGTCCACCACCAAAAGTGGCGACAATGGTCACAACGACAGACAACAACAGGAATGGAAGAAAGTGGCCTGATCTGATGAATAATGCTTTCTTTCACATCCCATGGATGACTTGGTGGGTTTGCATCGCTTACCTGGGCATCACCTGGCACCACGTACGCTGTAGACCACGTACACTTACGGTGCGGTACTCCCTGATGGATGCGACCTCTTTCAGCAGGATAATGTGCCCTGCCATAAAGCAAAGATGGTTCAGGAACTGACACAATGAGTTTGAGATGTTGACTCGGCCTCCAAATTCCCCAGATCCCAGTCCAATCAAGCATTGGTGGGATGTGCTGGATAAAACAAGTCCAATCCATGGAGGCTCCACATTCACAACTTACAGGACTTAAAGGACTTTAATGGTATGGACTTGGTACCAGATACCCCAGCAAACCTTCAGAGGACTAGTGGAGTCCATGCTTCCATGGGTCAGGGCTGTTTTGGAAGCAAAAGGTGGACAAATACAATATTAGACAGGTGGTCATAATATGATGTCTGATTGGTGCATGACAACAGCATGGCTTCATATGAAAAAAAAAAAAGTCTGCGTTCTTCCTGACTGGCCAAACCTTTCACCATTTGGTGCTTCATGAAATGCAAAATACACCAAAGAAGAACCAGGACAGTTAAAGCGCTAGAATCCCGAATCAGACAATGATGTCTCCTCAGCTCTCAGACTTACACAGACTTGTTTATTAAAAGATGCTACACAGTGCTAACTTTGACATATTTGTTGCCATCAAATTCAAAATTACCATTTTTTCTTTAAATTGTACATTTTCAACATGTTTTCTATTGTAAATGAATACCGGTTTTATTTAGCATTGTTTTCAGAGACGAAATATGAGATTGTGTTACAGCACAGTCAGGGGACACCAGTCTATTTGACCTGTTTGTTTATTTAATGTTAAACCAGTACAATGAATGGTTGATCACAATGCATAGCTGTCTTTTACAGGTCACAAGCATTAGTTGCTATTGTTGTGTCCAGGTCTGAAGTATTGGCTTTCTTCTTATACTGAAAAAAGGAAGGCTTCCTGTCCTACAACCTGACTCCTCGCTCACATTCGGTTACTCTCCAACACCAACGCACACATCAAACTTTTAACAGTAGTGTTGTGTGATCAGCGGTGGCCACTGTCCGCTCTCTTTGTCCACACACACATGCTCGTGTGCAAATGTACAGGTGACCTGTAGTTTCCACATTATTTAGCCAGCAAATGAATAATTCTGGGCTGTAAACAAACATCGAGTTCTGAACTTTGTGATCCTTTTACAGTGACTACTTCTCCATCTGACTGCCTTTCTGTTGGTTCACGTGATACCTCTTCATCAACATGTTGGGTCTTCTTTTCTTTGAATAATATGAACACTTTAGCT